TACTGTTCGTCTTCTTGCTTTTTGTCATCTTGAGACAGAGTCCATTGTCCAGGATAGCCTATCACTACACAGCCCAGGCCACCCTTGAACTTGTGATTCTCCTACCTTAGCTTCCCTAGTGCTCGGATTACAGAGACACACCTCTGTGCTCAGAACAAGACTCCCTTAAAGTACATAACTGATGGAGAGGGAAATCAGAGAAGCATCACCTTTCATGATAGCCACAAAGAGCATAAAATATCTTGGGGTAACCCTGACCAAGGAAGTGAAAGATCTATTTGACAAGAACTTTAAGACTTTGAAGAAAGAAATAGAAGAGGACACCAGAAAATGGAAGGATCTCCCTTGCTCTTGGATAGGGAGGATCAACATAGTAAAAATGGCAATTCTGCCAAGAGCAATATATAGATTCAATGCAATCCCCATCAAAATGCCATCAAAATTCTTCACAGATCTGGAGAAGACAATAATCAACTTTATATGGAAAAACAAAAAACCCAGGATAGCCAAAACAATCTTATACAATAAAGGAACGTCTGGAGGCATTACCATCCCTGACTTCAAACTCTATTACAGAGCTACAGTAATGAAAACAGCATGGTATTGGCATAAAAACAGAGAAGTCGACCAATGGAACCGTATAGAAGACCCTGACTTTAATCCACAAACCTATGAGCACCTGATTTTCGATAAAGGAGCTAAAAGTATACAGTGGAAAAAAGAGAGCATCTTCAACAAATTGTGCTGGCAAAACTGGACATCAATCTGTAGAAGAATGAAAATAGATCCATGTCTGTCACCATGCACAAAACTCAAGTCCAAGTGGATTAAAGACCTCAATATCAGTCTGAACACAAAGTACATAACTGATGGTTTTCTTCTTGAAAAAACCATTTAGTTATTTTTATTGTGTGTGTGAATATTTTACCTACATGAGTGTATGTGTTCCATGTTTGTGCATGGTGGTCTGAGGCCAGAAGAAGGCACTGGATCCCTCGGGACTGGAGTTACAGATGGCTGTGAGCTGCCAGTGTGCACGCCATCAAATCAGTGTTCTCAACTTCTGAGATGTCTCTCCAGACCCTTTAATGATTTTCTTAAATCCACAGTTTTCCAGCCATCGGGACCATCGACTGGAAACCACTTTCATCTTCACTACCTAAAAAAACCCCAATATTCTTTATGCATCACCCCTAAATTCTTCCAAATCTCCAGCCTTAAGCAGTCAGCAATCTACTCTGTCTTTTTATTTAGTGTGTTTGTGTACATTTCCTTGTTTTCCCCCTCCTTTCTCTCTGTTTCTCTCTCTGTCTCTCTCTCTGTCTCTCTCTCTCTCTCTCTGTCTCTCTCTCTCTGTCTCTCTCTCGCTCTGTGTGTGTGTGTGTGTAGGCCAGACGTCCTCATCAGATGTCTTTCTCAATCACTGTTTACTTTAGCTTTTGAGACAAGGTCACTTACCAAACCTGGAGCTTACCAATTCGGTGCAGCTGGCTGAACATAAGTCCCAGCAATTGTCCTGTTGCCGTTTTCCCAGTGCTAAGATTACAGGTGCCCACAGATGGCCCCCAGCTTTTTTTTTTAATTTATTTTTTTTATAATTTATTTATTTATTAAAGATTTCTTGGGCTGGAGAGATGGCTCAGTGGTTAAGAGCACTGCCTGCTTTTCCAAAGGTCCTGAGTTCAATTCCCAGCAACCACATGGTGGCTCACAACCATCTGTAACGAGGTCTGGTGCCCTCTTCTGGCCTGTAGACAGAATACTGAGAATACTGTATACGTAATAAATAAATAAATCTTAAAAAAAAAAAAAGATTTCTGCCTCCCGTGGTCAGGGCCCCCAGCTTTACAAGGTTGCTGGAGATTGGAACTCGGGTCTCCACGCCTGTGCGGCAAGCACTTTACCGACTGAGTCATCTCCCTGCCCCCGTGTGTGCTTTAATGGATTGTCTTCCAGCAGACAAGAAAGGGAAGTCATGCTCTTCTGTAAGAAACGGGTCTAATGTAGAGGGCTGTCACGGAGCATCGCACATGGAAGGTGTGTTTTCTGATGACTACACTTTTCTCAGGTGGGCTGAGTTCTGTTGATTTAACAACTCTCTTGGTGACTGAGGGGTGCATTCTGGGAATGTGGTGGGTGCGGATGTGTGGAGGGGCTGGGCTGAACTGGGAGGATAGGTATGGTTTTGGTTTGGTGGGTGGAGGGGTTGAAAGCCTAGCATACGGAGGAGGCGCTGACCTGCAGAGCTTGTGAGAGCCAGATCTACCAAGGTCTGGGAGTCAATCTATCATGCCTGACCATTGGACTCAGAATCCTCTGAGTCAGCCATGCTGACCCAGAGGAACTGGATGAGGGATAATGAGGAATCAGGTTTTAAGGTGAAATTCCTGTTGCTTCAAATCTCTCCAAGGCCCGAGGAGGTTAAAACATCCTCCTCCTCCTCCTCCTCCTCCTCCTCCTCCTCCTCCTCCTCCTCCTCCTCCTCCTCCTCCTCCTCCTCCTCCTCCTCCCCCCTCCCCCTCCCCCTCCCCCTCCTCGGCCTTGGCCTCCAAAATCAACTGGAAAGAAACCTCAGCAGAAGGCTGCTATGGTTGGCAGCTGAGCTCAAACAGGACACCAGCCGGGAAGGCCCCTTCCTTGATTGTTCCCTTGTGTTTCTATGGGGACGCAGAGACCTGATCCCTGCTGTACTCTAGTGACCCATGGTAGGCTTGTGCCCCTTCCTAGGCCTCATTTTTCTCACCCGTATAATGGGAGCTGACAGAAATGACCCTGTGATATCAGGCTGCCCAGCCAGTGGTTTCTGGTTTGCCGGGTGAGCCCTCATAATACCAACTACCCTTACTTGTATCCGAGGTCTAGCTCTCAGCAACATGGTGAGGGGAAGCTTGAGGGTCAAGTTCCCGGCTAGGAGCAACTAGAATTTGAATCCCTACTGGGTTTCTAGTTCGCATTGTGACTCTGGGCAAGTGGCCATTTTGGCTGAACCTCAGTTTCCTCCTCTGTAGCTCAGGCAAAGTTTTTGAACCTCCCTGGTAAGGGCGCTGTGAGGATGAAGAAGAACCATGCAAAACACCTTGCACGCAGCAAGCATCCTGTCCTCCTGCCTCCATGGGCCCTGGCTGCTTCTGTCCCCTGCCCCAGCTCCAGCCTGCCTTACCTGCTCCCTCCTACCTCCACCTGGCCTCTCATTTCCCTCTGTTTCCTGCTAGCCTGGACTTTCCTTATTTTTCTCAGAAGAAGGGCAGTGAGTTTCTGAGAAGAGGGATGGGAATTCACACCGAGACAGCCTGGCCCAGAACACTCAGCTGTTTTGATGAAAGACAGGACTGTGTTAATTGGCCCAGTAAGTTGAGAGTCAGGTGGCTGCTAACCTGAATCAGCAGGATGGAACGTGAAGGGCTGTTGTCTTTGCTGGGACCCACTGTAACGAACTTCTGTCCCTTCCCTGCCCTATGCTAACACGGAGCTTTTCAGGGCCATGGGATTCCAGTTACCCTCCCAGTACACATTCACATTCCTCTCTGTCTCCCTTCCTACCCCGAATCTCTCTCATTTTTTGAGATAGACTTTCATCTGGCCTCAAATTCATAGCCACAGCTGACTGTGAGTCTCCCAGGCAAGCATCACTATAGCCGATGTCTCCTGCATTTTCTTAGCAGGCATGCCCTCTGTCCACAGTGGCAAGCCACTCTCCTTCTCACGGTACCTAAGGAGAGCAAAAGCCCCACCAAAACTTAGCTTGGGTTTAACTCAATGAGTTGGGGTTTTCTTTTTAAAGACACCCTGTTTTTCATAAGAAGAATAATCTGTTAGGAAAAAAAACCCACAAATTTTTATTAGCCTTTTCATGGAATAACATTCAGTAAAATTAAAACAACAACAACAACAAACGAACAGACAGTTGAACAAACCAAGAGCTAGGCTTGGTGACCATGCCTTCCGTCTCAGCACTTAGGAGGCAGAGACAGGTAGATCTCTGTCTGTTTGAGGTTAGTCTGATCTACATAGCGAGTTCTAGGCTAGCCAGGGCTACGTGGTGAGACCCTATTTAAATCAATGACAAGAGTGTATGTAGCTCAGTGAGTTTTGACATAGGTAAGCATGAGCTGAAGGAAGAAAATGCCGAGCTGGGTGCTGAGCTGGGTGTGGTAGAGCATACACACCTATAATCCCAGTACTTGGGAGCAAGAGAAAGGTGGGCTGCCTAGGTTAGGTAACATAGTAAGATCCTGTTTCCAAAAGCAAAAGAGGAAAGAGCGTTTCTGGCGCAGTGGTGCATGCAGATAAGCGCAGGACTCAGGACACTGAGGCGGCGGGATCTCAAAAGCAAGATGGAAATAATAAAGCAACACGTGCTAGTCCAGAGAACATGGAATATGTTTTGTTTGACAAGAAGAAAAAGAAAAGTAGAACTTCAAGAATTAGGGAACTATTCAAGATCAGCTAATAATCAATCATTTGTGAGTCCTTGGGCCACAAGAAAGTGGCCTGCTGTCCCACAGCTGGCCATGTGGTCAGTCCCTCCTGACCTATGACCTCAGGCTACTGCTCATCTTCCAGGATGTTCGTCAGCACCAGAACTCTACCTAGCGGCCAGCAGAAGGCCTTTTCCTGTAAAGCCGCGGGCAATGAGAACAAACCCAAGTGCTGAAAAGGACCTGAGGCCCAGAAGGAACTAGCGTCAGTCAGGAGGCTTAAGCCTCCTTTTCTTCCCCTGAAGGTAGAGATAGCAAACTTGCCTTTTAGGGTATCTAGAGGGTAGTGATCTTGGGGGCCCATAGGGTGGATGCTGATGTCAGAGGCCTGGAGTCTTCTGCCTGTGTTTGCTTATCCTGACTACAGATCTATCAGATAGAGCGTTGGAAAGTTCACGCTCTGAGTTTGGGAGGGGCTGTGTGGGCCCAGCCCTCCGGAGGAGGAGGGGGTAGGTCAGCGCTCCCTTGGCTTCTCTCCTGGCCTTGAGCTAGTGGTTATAAGTGTGGAGGTTAGGGGTAGAGACAGGCACACAGCGAGAAGTGGCAGTCGTGCGTACAGTATGCTGGCCAAGGGACTTTCCTTGCGCTCAGTGCTGGTCAAAGGCTGCCAACCTTTCTTGAGCCCTACCTGGCAGGGGCCAGTGCTGGCCATTGGAGGGGAAGCTGGCATCTCTACTAATAGTCCTCGGCCTTTCAGTGAGATCCCTTCTCCCAGTGACAATGGCTGGCTAAACCTGTACCACTTTTGGAAGAAGAATGGCACACACAGAATCCACTATCATCAAATGCAGAGTTTCCAGAAGTATGGCCCCATTTACAGGTAAGCCTGGCAGAGGGCAGAGGCAGGTATATGGGAGACGCAGGGCTCCAGACAGGCTCAAATGTTCTGCTTGGGGGGGGGGGTCTCAGACTTGTGTCTACGTTCTTTCATTTCTTCAAGCCTAGGGATGGTGGTAAGAGAAGCATAGACCCTCCCAATTTACGGCCCCAAGATTTCAGCTTTCTCCTTTCCCAGTTCTTGCAGGAAGGGCTGTGAGCAAACACACCTCCAGTGCCCCCTTCACCTACCGTCCTCCAGACAAAAAGACCAGCTGGCTCTCTCTACCTTCAGGGGAGAGCTAGCTTTAGGTTCCCTGACTACTGGCTAAGCTCCCACCCCGCTTCAGGGCCAACCTCAGCTCCAGGCCCTTTGTGACTCCACACAAGTTGGTTTCCTAAGCATCTTCTAGGAGCAATGACCTTGCGGTCCGTGGCTTCTGAAATCTCAGGGTCTGTGGCCTATTCTCGCTTAACAATACTTGTGGTCAGAAGTCTGTAGGCTACTTGTGGGCTTTTCTTCTTCTTCTTCTTCTTCTTCTTCTTCTTCTTCTTCTTCTTCTTCTTCTTCTTCTTCTTCTTCTTCTTCTTCTTCTTCTTCTTCTTCTTCTTTTTTTCTTTTTGGAGCTACTTCAAGAGATGGGAGGTGCCACAGTCATCAGGGAGCATGGAGGGTGATGCATTTCATCCTAAATGACAAGATCCTTAGCTCTGCTTTCAAGCTGCCCCAGTCAGAGTGCCTTATTCCATCAGCTGCTCTCGCAGTCACTTTCATCTGAGTGTTGTGCTGTGTCCCTTGAAGTTGGCGTTTTCGCTCCCACCGTATCCCCACTTTCTGGAAAGAGAAGGGACTTACCAAGGTCGTAGATCACCAGACTTAAGCGAATACTGGAAATCCAGTTTGTGCATCGCCTTGCTCCACATCAGGGTGATGCCACAGTTTATAGACTGGAAGGTAGCAAGCACTAAAAGGGAGGGACTCAAAGCACCACCCTCATGGTCCCCTCACCCCCATACCATGAAGGCTCCTTGCAGTCTTTGGAGAATGGCTGAGAAAATCAGTGATGCATGAATGAATAATTGAAATCACATCCGTCTTTAACCTATATGGTCCTTTAGTACCACGAAGACTGACTACTGTGTGTGTCATGTGGACTTGCTTCCCCCGTGCATTCAATAGTTTTTCTCGTCCCTCTATTTGGTTTATTTTTTGTTTGTTTGTTTTTCAAGATAGGGTTTCTCTGTGTAGCTTTGGAGCCTGTCCTGGTTGTAGACTAGGTTGGCCTCAAACTCACAGAGATCTGCCTGCCTCTTCCTCCCGAGTGCTGGGACTAAAGGTGTGTGCCACCACTGCCCAGCTCCTTTTGTCTCTTTAAAACGATTTGAAATAGCAGTACAATAGACCATGTGTGTGGACAGCTACGTTTTGAGGACAGACTTTAAGTGAGCGTTGAGCTCACACCCTTAGATACAATGTTCTGATGAGTGTCTGTCTTTCAGGTATTCTGTTGATGTCAGATCGTCACCTTGGGCTCAAGTCTCAGAAGTGAGGCTGATGATCCTGACAGCATTTCAAGGCCTTTTAGGATGTAGCAAATATGGGATTGGATAGTGGAAGCTGGAAAAACGCTGAAGGGGTGTTTTCAGGGGCCATGAACAAGCTGAGGAAGGCCATGGCTTGTGAAGGTGGGCCTGGGCTTAGACTCTGAGACAAAAGCTGTGCATTCCAGGAGGGGGATGAAGGAGAAAGAGGGAGAAATCAGGAGAGAAGGAACACACACACACACACACACACACACACACACACGGGAGGGAGACTTGAAGTAGGGACGGCGCCAGAGATAGGAGAGAGGAACGAGAGATGGAAGGACAGAGATAGAGGGTAAAGGGGGGAGAGGGAGGGGAGAGAGAGAGAGAGGAGAGGAAGGACAGCTAGAAAGAGGGAAGGAGAGAAAAAGAAAGAGGGAGGAAGAATAGAGAGGAATGGAAAAGGAAGGGAAAGGGAAGAAGGGGTGTCAGGAAGGGGGAGAGGAAACACCTAACTTGTGTCTTATGTGTATAGATATTTGTTTTCTTATAAATCAGTGGATTGTTCTTGGGAAAAAGGTAGTGTAAACAAGAGGCAGACTCTCCTGTGGCCTTTTAGTAGTTGCTTGTGTGTGTGTGTGTGTGTGTGTGAGAGAGAGAGAGAGAGGGGGGGGGGGGAATGGGGGGGGAGAGAGACACACACACAAGTGTATTGCCTCAGAGCTCTGGGAGTTAGACCCTGTGTAACATCAAGGTGCATCCGGAAGACTGGCTTCTTCTGGGATTACTCTCCTCAGCCTTCAGACCAGTCTTCTTTTTCACGTCTCTGTTAGAATCTGTTTCTCTTAGAAGGACACCCGGTCATGCGTACAGTTGTGTGTTCCTAGGGACTGACTGTTAGAAGGACATCCGGTCATGTGTACAGTTGTGTGCTCCTGGGCACTGACTGCAAAGCGCTCTGTGGGCCCTGCCACCTGTCAGCTTCATCCATACTTGGGACTTGATTTTTTTCTTCTTCTGCAGTTTCAAACAAACTTTAGAGTCAAACATGACACATATACCTATGACCACTGTAGCTCCTCCTGAGGGACCACTTCATTGACACTATCCTGCCTCACACAGCATAGCCCAGGACCAGCCAAGCCCTGTCCCAAACCTTCCATTTGTAACCATGTCTACAAACTAAATCTTTGTCTTTAAACAAAGCTTTAGCTTAGATATTTAATTAGGCGTAAATGTGTGTAGTGGGGAGATAGGTGCGCATAAGTGCAGTTGCCCTCAGCGGCCAGGAGGGGGTGTTGGGTCCCCTGGAGTTATCCAACATGGGTGCTGGGGTATAGGCTTGGGACTGGAGCAATGGCTCAGAGGTTAAAAGCAGTGGCTGCTCTTCCAGATCTCCTGAGTTCAATTCCCAGCAACCACATGGTGGCTCACAACCATCTATAATGAGATCTGGTGCCCTCTCCTGGCCTGCAGGCAGAACACTGCATATGTAATAAATAAATCTTCTAAAAAAGAGTGGTATAGGCTCCTAGTTACTGAGTCATCGCCTCAGCCCTGAAGTATTACGTGAAGGGCAGTGTCTACACTAAATTACAGTTCTACAGGGGCCCGCTGGCCCGGAACATGGGAGGTGCAGGACATTCACGGCAGGGTAACATGGAAGTGTACTATGGCTCCAAGTCCAGCAGGACAAGAAGACTCAGCATGGGTAGGCATGGTTACAAATGGAAGGTTTGGGATGGGCTAGGCTGTGAGGCAGGATAGTGTTCATGAAGTGGTCCTGTGGGAGGAGTCACAGTGGTCATAGGTTTATGTGTCACGTTTGGCTCCTCAGCAGTTCCATGAGACTGAAGGCACATCTGTCTCCGTTTCATAGAGGAAACCGAGGCTGACCCAGTTCCAACATCAGTCTCTCTCATTTTTTTTTTTTCCAGGGAGAAGCTTGGCAGCGTGGAGTCTGTTTATATTCTGGATCCTGAAGACGCAGAACTGCTGTTTTTACGCGAGGGTCCCTACCCAGAACGATACATTTTGCCCCCCTGGCTTGCCTATCACCAGTATTACCAGAGGCCCCTTGGGATCCTGTTTAAGTGAGTTCTGAGTGAACCCTGTGTGTATGGAGGGTGTTGGAGGGGGAGAGAGTGGGTCTTCTCATCTTCCTGCGCCATGAGGCGAAAGATGGTGATGATGATGGTGATGGTGGTGATGATAGGGAACTGTGCTGCAGACTTACGGGGAGGTGTCAGGCTGAGGTTCTTCATGAGTGGCGAAGGACTTTTCTGAGTTCTCACTAATTGCTTTAAACATGAAGTGCCTCTTTATCAAGCACCTGCTGAGTACCAGGCCTTGTGCCAGGTGTTGGCAGCACAGTGGCAAATAAAGTGGGGTCCTGACCGCCTGCAGGAGCTGTGAGAAGCAGAAAATCCATCAGTGAAATGTAGACACTGTTTTCTACCAATCTGCCTGTTGAAAAATGTATTTATATATTGCTGGGGTTGAGCCTCGGCTCTGGTTCAGGTCCTGAGGCGGGGAAGGGGCGTTGGCACAAGGAAAACTTCTGACCACCAAGTGGGTTGAACTCAAGTGGCTCTGAATAGTTCAAGCCATATTTATTTATACTTAACAGAGTTTTTCTTATCAGGCTTACATGAACAGCTTTATTATTGGCTCCTATTTTTGACTTTTTAAGAAATCCATCATACTTTAAGGACTACATTGTAGTCTTTATGAAAGCCCCCATTGTTCCCCCTTATGCTTCCCCAAATACACTTTCCCACCCCCCTACATAACCATATTCCAGACAGAAAGTTCAGCATTTTTGCAAGCTTAACTAAATATGGAGACAGACACATCCTGCTCTCACAGCGCTTAAGTCAGCTGGCAGCTACTTGTGGTTACCAAGTTAAAAAGTAATAGACACAGGTACAGTGCTTTAAGAACAAGAATATTCAAACCCAAACAATTCTCTCATGTCTGCAAGATATGCTTTGATACAATCCCCCTTTCTACAAGAGGGTCCCATGTCTCAGTCTCTGTAAGAGGCAGACATTGATAAAGCTCCCTTTTCCCATCTCACTATACCATACTTCTTCCACCAATATGAGCTCCTGTGTGTGGTAAAGATGAATCCATCAATTCCAAAGTTTGCATTGTATTTTTTCCTCTTGGAGCATACCAGATCCTACCAATGATTCTATGGTTGGTGTCCAGGAAACTTCCTCTCAACAGTAGGCACTATGTGTATTCCTGAGACTTTTTCCCTATTCTGTGTGTGCATGCCTGACTCTCCTTTCCACAACTGTGAGACATGGTTAATGGCCCAAGTGTTGTTTTCTCATATGTACTCAACTATCTCCATTGGGTCAGAAAAGTTCCTAGGATTAGGAATTTCAGATAAGAGACTTGAGAAATGTTAGCCCCTTGCTGAATCTTAGAGGAAAATATTTGAGAAAGAGTAGAATTTCCAGAGAAAATTACAGTTGTAGCATGAGGCTGACAAAGTAAAACTGAAAAACACCCAAAGAATCAATAATATAATGAGAGAGAAAAGAGTCTGTAAGCTGCATGAAGTTTGCAAATTCGTATGCTGTCCCGTGGACTAGTGAGAGTCAATTTCCATGTGTGCCTTGCCCCGAGGAAACCCACTGGACAGTCATGTGTTGATCTGAGACTAGACTGCATATATCCTAACCATATATATATGTATATATATACACACATATATACACATATATATGTATATATATGCAAACACCATATATGCATATAACACACACACTCACACACACACATTTCCTCTATATAGCCTTGAACTTCCTACAAGTTGCTATGTAGACCAGGTTGGCCTCAACCCACAGACATCAGCCTGTCTCTGCCTCCCTTAAAGATGAAAGACATGTACCACCACACCAATCATCACTGAAAAATTTAAATATGACTTGATCAAGGGCTGGCAAGGCCTTGGAGAAGCTGAGCTCTCTGGAGTAGCTGCTTCTCTCGTCAGCTGTGGAGGGAGCAGAAACCAGGCCTCTGTGTGGACAGTGCTTGGATCTTATTTCCTGAGACTGACTATTCCCAGGGACACGATGACTGTGATCCATGCAGTGTTTCTAACTTTAGGGACATATGCCACAGAGTAGTTCCCCCAGGAGACATGGACTAGAATGCGTCTCCTGTGAGAAAACATTAGAAAACACAGAAAACCCAGGAAGCTTCCTAGCTGGTTGAGAGGATGATGGACAAGAAGGTAGCGTGTACCAGCCACCATGTATGGACCTGGGTCCACAACAGAACTCTTCCGAAACATAAAACTGAGTACAGAAGGCAAGTGCCCCCAAGTCTGACAGGTGTTTTAAAAATCTGGAAATAACTGTACCCTTTTAAAGTATCTTTTAGGAGTATATTTAGATTCAGTAAAACCATACACAAAAAAGGGGGCAGGGACTCAGGCTAGGGAGCTCTCCAAGTGGCGAAGGTGTCCATGGGAGGACAAGGTAGGCTGGGGCCCTGAGTTTACAACATTCTTTGCGCTGAAGTTTTTATTTTTTTAAATCCATGTATGTGTGTGTATGTCTGTGTGAGTGCATGCCATGTCTATACAGGTACCCCTGAAGGCTAGGAGAGGACACTGGGTCCTTTGGAGTTATGGTACATGGTTGTGGGTTGCTCTACAGGAATGCTGGGAACTGAACAAGAGCAAGAGCCATAAGCCATCTTGGCAGCTCACAACAACATTCTTAGACAAGCCAACTCCCAAATTAGGGAATGAGCTTTGCATAGGTTGATTTTTTTATGTGTGTCATGAATTGAATTTTTAAATAAAAATTATATTTATGTGTGTACATACATGTGTATGTGTGTGGACACATGCACACCACTGCACATGTGTGGTAGTCTAAGAATATGTTGTGGGAGTCATGTCTCTCCTTACATCATGTGGGTCCCAGGACTTGAGCTCAGATCTTCAGGCTTAGTGCTAAACACCTTTACCTGCTCAGATCATAATCTCAAGGTTTTCATAAATGATTCTGAGTAGCTGGGGTTCCCAATGTAGTGAATTCTCAGATACTTTGGGGAGAAAAGGTCAGTTGGCTTCACCTGTGTGGGAATGAGAAAGATGAACGAGAAGGGTCTTCAATGGCAAGGCTGTGTAAGGATCAGAAGGCAGAGGAATACATGGAAGATGGGCTTGGGGGGGGGTCAACTCAGAAAACTCAGAGTTACTTCAAAGGAGATAAGCGTTTCGGGGTTCTTAGTGGTGGTGGGTGGCAGCGGCGGCTGTCAGTGTGGAAGACAGTCAGGCTTTTGTTCTCTGTTGCCAGCTCTGGTCCATTCTCCTCTCCTAGGCCAGGGAGGGCGGGGAGGGAGCAAGAGACAACCGTGAGTGTTGGGGAGTCGGGGAGACAGTGATGGTGCAGGCTCTGAAAACTAGAGAGCCCATCCAGTGCCTCTGCCAGGCCTGGACTCTGTGACCATGAGGTGGACGTGTATTTCCCCAGGAAGTCAGAAGCTTGGAAGAAAGATCGAATTGTCCTAAACCAGGAAGTGATGTCCCGCGACGCCATCAACAACTTCATGCCCCTGATTGAAGGTGTAGCTCATGACTTCGTCAAGGTCTTGCACAGGCGCATCAAGGAGCAGAACTCTGGAAAATTTTCAGGGGACATCAGTGGTGACCTGTTCCGCTTTTCCTTTGAGGGTAAGGGTCTTACACTTGGCTGGAGGGAGTCGGGGCCAGGGAGCCAGCTTGCAGTTGTATGGGTTGGCTTCTTGAATATGCTCTACTGTCTGTCACCTGGGAGGTAGCCAGGTTCCTCTCGTCTGACATTCATGTTTTGGGGGTCCCCCAAACATAGATCTTCCATGCCACCATCCTCCAAAGGCCAGAGCTTGGCCTGATCCTTCATGCTGCTAGTCTCCCCCTCCTAGAAACAGACCTCTGAAGTTGAGCAGGACAGAGGAGGCCTTCATGGTTGATCTGAGCTGGGTGTAGACAGACACCTAGAAGTTATTCCGACTGGGTAAGGTAGTCAGGCAGCTTAGACCAGGCAAGAGTGCATGCATGTGGCTTAGTGGAGGTCCTGTGAGGCCTGTAGGAGATTTGGGGTACCCTGGGCATGAACTTGGCATTCAAATTCTTCATGTGATTTGAGAAAGTTGAGAAAATTTGAAGGTGGTTGTGATCTTTTAGCTCTAACAAGATTGAGTCCTGGGTAACTCAGACTGATATCCCAAGTCTCTCAGCTCATGTGTGACATAGTGAATTCAGTCAATTACAAGGGGAAATCCCTTTTGGACAGTTTTGTCCTGATTCAGTTCATCCTGTACATGCTTCCCACAAAAGCATCCTTCCCGGGGCCTCCCAATGAGGGACCTGAGTGCCTTCTTTCATCCTTCGGGGTTCAGGTCTCCGTTTCTTCGTTTCTTTGTTGGAGGAAGCTGAGGATGAGGGAGAACTCCTGTGTGTGGTGGGTGTGGGTGGAGATAATTCTGGGAGCTGAGGTTCTCATATAGCCAGGTTGGAAGGGGGTCTTCAGCCTCAGTCTCCCACTGCAGCCATCACCAATGTCATGTTTGGGGAGCGCCTGGGGATGTTGGAGGAGATCGTGGACCCTGAATCCCAGCGGTTCATCGATGCTGTCTACCAGATGTTCCACACTAGTGCCCCCATGCTCATCCTGCCTCCAGAACTCTTTCGATTCTTCAGAACTAAGATCTGGAAGGACCATGTGGCTGCCTGGGATGTGATTTTTGATAAAGGTGAGGACTCCTCTGGCAATAATCAGGAAATGGGGTCACCAAACAGAGAGTGCATCTAGCTGAATCCCTGGCCTCAGGTTGCCTCTTTGTTTCAAGATTAGTCAATGGATGCTAATTTACCACTGAGGAAACTTCTGGTGAGCAGGGATGAGTGTCAGGGCTGAAGGCTGACTATTGGAGGGTTTGTTTTTTTTTTTTTTTTTTTTTTTTTTTTTTTCTGGAGAAGGGGGAGTAAAGATGTCCATGGTGTTTCTTAACAGGTCTCATGACTAGGGGGTAGAGACATGGCTCAGCAGTTAAGGACACTTGCTGGTCTTAGAGAGCTTGAATTCTAGGACTCATATTAGGAGGTTCACAACTTCCTGTAACTCCAGCTCCAGGGGATTTGATGGGCTTTTCTGTCCTCTACGGGCGCCTACACTCACACACACACACACACACACACACGACAAATACACATGTACACTTCATTAAAAAAAAATAAGCCCTTAAAAAAAACTCTTTTTAAAAAGTTGCTCGTTATCTATAGAGTTGATGGCTTGTGTCTGCGCCATAGTTGTCTGAGTGACAGAAGGCTTAGGGGGAGAGCTAGGGCCTATTGAGAGGGGAAGGTTGATGGATAAAACTGCCTGGGGTGTGGTGACATCAAATGTCACCTTGACCATCAGTCCCTACAGAAGCTTGGGCAATCAACCAACTCTGCCCAGTCAGTAAAGTGCTTGCTTGCAAGTGTGAAGACCTGAGTTCAATTCCCAGGACTCATAGTAATGCTTGCTTGTACTACAGCTCCCAGTGCTGGGAGACTGAGACATGTGGCTTCCTGGGGTTCACTGGCCAGCTACCCTAGACACTAGGTGAGTTCCAGACCAATGAGAGACCCCACCTCAAAGAAACAAGGTCCTTGAGGGTACCTGTACATACATATGTGAACCTGCACACATGGGCTCTCTCTCTTTCTCTCTTCTCTCCTCTCTCTCTCTCTCTCTCTCTCTCTCTCTCTCTCTCACACACACACACACACACACACACACAGTGGGGAAGATCAAGAATTAAATGACAAGGGCTGGAAAACTGGCTTGGTTGTTAAGAGTGCTGGCTGCCCTCCCAGAGGACTCTGGTTCAACTCCTAATCTACATGGTAGCCTGGTGTGTGACTCCAGTCCCAGGGATCCAGCACCTTCTTCTGGCCTTCATGGACATGGCACACACATGGTGCACAGACATCTGTGCAGGCAAAACATTAATACACATGAAGTGAAAAAAATTAAGGGAAAGAATTAAACGACAAAACAAATATGAAGGGGTTAGTACAAAAATGGAGGCTTAGTAAAATGGCTGCCTACTGGTAGGGGTTCCGGACTATCAAGCCCCTGGCACCCTCCCAGCCTCCCACCTACAGGGAGCCTTACTCTGTTCCTCCTCCTGCTCCACAGCTAATGAATACATTCAGAACTTCTACTGGGACTTACGGCACAAGCAAGACTTCAACCAGTACCCTGGTGTCCTCTATAGCCTCCTGAGTGGTAACAAGATGTCCTTCAAGAACATCCAGGCCAACATTACGGAGATGCTGGCAGGAGGAGTGGACACGGTGAGTGCTGTAGGGCCTGGCATGGGCCTCCTGGTGCCCACATGCTCCCTTCCCCACCAGCTGCCTGGTCAGAAGCTGCTGTTAATACGAGGGGCTGGGCACACTTGCATGATATGCTTCTCTCTCTTGGTGCCAGGCCCTAAATGGTAGTCTTTTAGAAGGGTAACATTAAAGTCCTGCCATGAACCTGTTTGGGGAGGCTGCTTGTTTGTTCCCGACTGTCCAGACCTGAAATAATCACTCAGAAACCATATTATTTACAATATTGTTTTGCCAATAGCTTAAGCGTATTTCTGGCTAATTCTTATATCTTAAATTCACCCATCTCCATTAATCTGTGAATCGCCACGTGACTGTGGCTTACTGGGTAAAGTTCTGTCTGGTGTCTGTCTCCGGCAGGGCTACAGGGCTTCTCCCTGACTCTGCCTACTTTCTCCCAGCATTCAGTTTAGTTTTCCCACCTAGCTCTATTCTGTGAAGCCACTGGCCAAAAACAGATTTATTCATTAACCAATAAATCAACATATAGACAGAAGGACCTCCTACACCAGGAACCAAACATCCTTCATAACCCATAGGGCAGGATCTGAGACTGACTCAACCGTGAGAAAGAAGGAATAACAGGTTCAGTTCCTGCATAGAACTTTGGTTGTTTTTGAGATGGGGGTTTCTGTAGCCCAGGGTGGCTTTGAACACACTATGTAGATAAGATTGACTTTGAACTCTTGATCCTTCTGCCCCTACTCCCCGAATCTGGGGATTACAGGACTGCTATTACCATGTTCCATTTGTTAAAAAAATTATTTTTTACATGTATGAGTGTTTTGCCTGCATATATATCTGCACCAAGTGAGTGCCTGGTGCCTGGGGAGGATAGAAGGTGGTGTTGGGTCCCTTGGAACTGGCATTACAGTTATAAGCTACCATAGGGTTGCCAAACATTGAATCCTCTTGTGGAGCCATCTCTCCTGCCCCACGTTTGATTTTATGCAGTGCCGAGACCAAACCCAGGGCTTCTTGCATGGTAGGCAAGCATTCTGCCAGCTGAACTGCATTTCCAGACCCTTTATGGTTTTCGTCGTTGCTGTTTCAGATAAGTTCTGAAGTAGAGTAAGTGGGCCTGGAATTCACTCTATAGGTCAGGCTGTCCCTGAACTCACATCAGTTCTTCTGCTTTGGGCTCCCAAGTGCTGGAATTAGTGTTCTCAGCCCAGAGAACTAAGCTCCCAGGAGACTGTTGTCTTGGGAGCATAAGCCATATTAACAGCACAGTGTAGACGAGTGGCTTTGACAACGGACACATTCTCTCACAGCTTGAAGCTATAAGCCATATCAAGGTGCAAGCAGGACTGGTTCATTCCGAGGCTTGACGGTGGCCATCTCCCTCGTGTCTACATGTGGGCATCCCTCATGACTTCTGTCTTGCCTTCTTCCTCTAATTAGGACATCAGTGCCTGGGCTAGAGCCTACACCACGTCTCCCCTTTACCCCATAGTCTCCTTAGAGGGCATATCCAAATGCAGTCATTTATGAGATATTAATAGTTTAGATGAAGACATGTGTATTTGTGGCTGAAGGAAGGGTGATAACATGACTGTCATATGTCACAGGGCTAGATGGCAGAGGCATGCACAGCTACTGACCACTAGGAGAATCGAAAGGAGAATTGTTTGTGGGGATGGCGTTCAGTGTTGATCATGAGATTCCTCGCAGGGAGGCAGTTTTGATTCCAGCTGTAATTGGAGTGGGGCAGCCCCATCATGACGTGATCTGCTTGCAAGTTCCACTCTTGACATCTCCACACCATCTAAATGATTCTTATTTTGGTGTCTTCAGTCTCAAAGAGAAGCGTTAGCACAGGCCAACAAAGACCAATCGACCTTGTGTACCAGCTTTTACAGATGTTCTTTGAGTGATCAGATGATGTTTTTAGAACAGAGTTGAGCAAGAATCTGACTCAGAGTTGAAGGTTGCAAAAAGACAGTGATGTGGATGGAGACAGTGGGGGCCAAATTCTGGGCAGATCCTCCACCCTGCACCCTTGAAACATACCAACCTTTTAATTTATCCTGTGTCCTGTTGCCCAACAGACACCAAGGCCCTGTGACACTGTGGGGTCTATCACGGTCATCTTTTCTTTATAGGTGAACAGTGGTACAGAGAGGTTAAACAGCTTGGCTGAGGCACACAGTTAGCAGAGTAGAATGAGCTACCTTGTTTGCCTGCTATCCTGGGTATCTACCCTGTAGCTGGCCTTGGAGGCTCTGAGGTCAGTGTTTTCAAGGAGTCTATTTGCTTTCCGGGTAGATAAGGAATTCTAGGAACTGCCTTGGGGAAGACTCCTCAGTGTCTACAGCGTGTCTGTAGCTAGGGCACTGGCCTTGTATTGGAGAGGTCATAGGAGGGATGCTAGGGGGGCAGCAGGCACATGTCCATGGAGCCTCCATACTTCATCTGCAGGCTCTGAGGAGCCAGGGCTTAAAGCCAAGAAGTAACTTGACATTGTTTCCACTTTTGTCTCTGCTGGGAAGATAGAGGTGTGCATATTTAAACCTTTTGGATAGAAATATGATCCTTGACAATGTGTCTACAATCCACGTCCTCTGCCCCAGGAGGGAGTGTGGTCTAGGCTGAGGCCTCTGTCTGCTTAGTCGGCTGACCTGGGTGAGTCTGAGACTGTGGGGCTTGAGCAGGGTCACTGATGCCTCCAGTGGAAGACCAATGGCTGCAGCCACTGCTTCTCGTTGAAGTTACATTGTGAATCCCAGTACGTCTTTTACACCAACTGCAGCAAAGATGGAGAACAGACCTGTGGTCTGGCTTAAGGATGGTTGAGTCTTGTTTTCTGTTATTGGGGTGAATGCTGAGACTCAGTTGTCTCTCAGTGACACCAAAGGAATGACAGTCATTTCAGTGGATAAATTTCTTTTGTTTTGTTTTATTTCATTTTGCTTTTTGAGACAGGGTTTCTCTGTGTAGCCCTGGCTGTCCTGGAACTCACTCTGTATACCAGGTTGACCTTGAACTCAGAGATCTGCCTGCTCTGCCTCTCAAGTGTTGTGATTAAAGGCCTGTGCCACTATGCCTTTGACATGGGTAGACAAATTTTACGGAAGTATAAATGTGGTTTCTGGAAGCCTCTGGAGCCCTCTGGAAGAGGACATTGGCTGTGTAGCTCTGTTGGTTAGGAGATGAAAGAGAGCTGGGTTCACACGGGATGAAGGCAGAGGCAAATCCTGCTCTGAATATCCATCCCTTGGCATTAACTATTTTTGAGCCAGTGTATCAGGTAGCCCAGGTTGACCTTGAACTTGTGTAACTGAGGATGACATCCTGCCTCCCAAATGTACCAACACACCCAGTTTATATGGTGCTGGGGACTGAACTCCAGACCTTGTGCATGTTAGGCAAGCACTCCATCACAAGCTCCTTACCTGGACACCAAGAAAACCTTAAACATTGTCCTTTCAAAGGTTTTGCAACTGGTCTTGGATATGGGGGGTTGAGAGTAGAAGACAGGGAAGTTTTTAAGGTAGGTCATAGACACTGTGTCACCTTGAAGTGACGGGCCTTCCTGGCTTTTGCAATCTTTGTATTTCTACCAGACATCCATGACCCTGGTGTGGAACTTTTACGAGATGGCACACAACTTGAAAATACAGGAGATGCTGCGGGCAGAGATTCTGGCTGCCCGGCGCCAGGCCCAGGGAGATATGGTCAAGATGATGCAGTTGGTCCCACTTCTAAAAGCCAGCATCAAGGAGACCCTGAGGCAAGTCTAGCATACCCATGCCTCCCTATCCCCAAGCCCCTGGGGAAGGGTTCCAGGGATGGGCTAGTGGAGGAGAGTAGAAATAGGAAGGGAGAAGTGTGGAAGGGGTGAATAGGACTGGTGAGTGAGAACTAGAACCAAGTCCTGCCTTAGTTTCTCCCTGTAGTCGGGGGGCGGGGGAGGCTGCAATGCTAGGTTGGTGTGGGAGTCAGGGTAGGGGATACATCCCTGTTCCAGGATCTGAGGCCATCTATCTCTGAGGGTCCTCTTTCTGCAGGCTCCACCCCATCGCTGTGACCTTGCAGAGGTATCTTGCAAATGATGTGGTGCTTCGTAATTACAAGATTCCTGCCAAGGTAGGACTCAGGGGCTCTGCTAGTCACACGGAGGAGAGGAGGGAGCAGGTTTCAATTCTAAGTAGATGGTGGTGATGGGGGCTTCTCTCTGGGCCTTTCTTCCTGATGCTGGGGCATTGGTGGGGCACTCAGATGCGGCGATCTCAGTTTGCGTGAACAGTAGTGACAGTGGGCATGGTGGGTAATGAACTCTGGAGTTCAGGGCTACAAGGCTAACCTGGCTGGTATTTCTGGGTTGAGGTATGGCAAGGGTTGAGAACAGCATAGGAAAACCCCATGGGTTCTTCCTTAGCTTTGTGTCTTCAGCCTTCATCAAGGTTCACAGAGGGGTAGGAGTCCTGTTTGAAGCTACACAGTGGGCAGAAGGCCCTGCTCTGTCCTGTCTTGGTTAGCTGGGAAGCTAGGCTTGGAAGTAGGGTCCCAAGGAAGCTGGGGTTAGGGTTGTACTTGGAATGGTGGGGAGCTGGAACCACTCAGACTTTGTTACCTTGCTCCTAGACATTGGTGCAGGTGGCTACCTATGCCATGGGCCGAGAACCCAGCTACTTCTCCAACCCAGACAAGTTTGACCCAACTCGCTGGCTGGAAAAAAGCAAAAATAGCACCCACTTCCGATACTTGGGCTTTGGCTGGGGTATTAGACAGTGTCTGGGCCGGCGGATTGCGGAGCTGGAGATGACCATCCTCCTCATCAACGTGAGTGGGGCTCTGGGACATGGCAGCACCCTGGGAAGTTATCAACATTCCTCCCCCCATCTCAGAATCCAGGGAGTGCAGCCTCAGGGCTCACTAATCTACCCCAACTCCCAGCTGCCTCCTCATTTGGACTAACCTACTTCTTACTTATCCATTGTCGTCCCTTGAGCATCTATCTATCTGTCCACACTCAAGAGGTGAAGTGGGAGACGTTGCTCAACAGATTAGTTAAGATCAAAGGTAAAGTCATGGAACAGAGCATGCAGGATCCATTTAGACGTGGTGAGAGTGAATAATTTGTGGCATGTTCTTTAGCTCATACTCAACATACAACCCTGTGCATACAGATGTCGAGTGGGTGTGACCTAGGGGAGACAAATCCTCCTTTCCATTCCTCAAGCCTGCCTCCTCTTCTTCAGGTGCTGGAGAACTTCAGAATTGAAGTTCAAAGTCTCTCTGATGTGGGGACCAAGTTCGGTCTCCTCCTGTTGCCTGAGAAGCCCATCCTCTTCAACTTCCAGCCTCTCAAGAAGGACCTGGACACCACCATGATCAGACAGGGTGGCACTGTCTGAACTGCAGACTGGAGTCACACGGGGCGATGGCCCTATGGGGGCCTTTGGGCAGGTGTCTCTGTCTCCAGAAACACCTGCTCCCTTTGGATGGTTCTGAGCTCTCAGGGGCCACCTGCTTAGGTTAGCTGGGTCCTCCTTCTTTATCCACTCTCCTCCTTTACTTACCCAGAAAGTTAATAAACAGATGAACTCTGCAGAGTGTTTTCATTCCTAGAAGATCTCTAAGACATTCATTACCCCCGTGGAGATGAACCCTGATCCTTGGTCGGCAGTGGGATGAGCGGCATTTAGGAAGATGGGAAGCTGTTGTGCAGCCCAACTGTGATCTCCCCCCCCCCCATCAGTTCAGGAGTTAGCAGAATCGACCCTGAGATCGCTAAGGGATCTAAATGAGATCTATCAGGAGAGGCTAGTACCATCAGTCCAGCAGTTATCAACGGACCCAGGGAGCTCTGCTGTGGGGACAGGGTGGCCAGGGAGATGTGAGTAATCCCTGTCCTCCTGCGTGGAACTGCATGTGGTAAAACATCACGCCACTGAGAGGCTGAAGTGAGGTGATAGGGCCCGAAGACAGAAGGCCAAAAGGCTCCACACCCTCTGCTGCCCATCCTGTGGGCACTCCCCGGTCTGTTTCCTTGCTCCAGGGGGATGTATTCTAAGAGCACAGGATGGAGTCTGCTCAGAATTTGGTTTATATGACATCTGCCTCTGTCCAGATCTATCTAGACCCTCTGGTTCTGTATCGTGCCATGAGCAGGTGCCAGATTCTTGCTAGCCCTTGGCTACCAGAATTTAAGTCCTGTAGATAGGTGTGGAGGCCAGGCCAGCTCCAAACAGCAGTCAAGCTGGCTTGGTCCTTTCTAGTAAGGCTGACGGTTCTGGGTCCACTCTTGAGCCCTTTGTTTCTCCCTAGCCTGTGGCCCTCCTCCCATATCTCTCTGTGTTTCATGCTGTCTTTCTCTCCTCTCATCGGTGACTCAGAAATTTCAGTGCTGCAAAGGGCCTCCTTGCCAAGACAGACGCTCTGCATGGGATAGATGAAGAATGTGGAGGTCAGAGAGATTTCCAGTCACTTAGAGTCATCCAGAATGCTCATGGCCAGAACCCAAGCTAGCTGGGACTCCAGCCTTCATGACTTCCTGCCTCTGACTATATTTGTACACCATATCATCAACTCTGCCAGGCATGACGGGATATCCAAGTAGTGTCATAGGAAAGCTTCAGTCTTTCTGTTCCCAGGACACTTGGAAGTCCTAAGCCTGAATGAAAGGGTACCAGAAATGAAAAGGTATTGGGGATTCATGGGAAACATGGCCTCCCGTCTTGCACAGAGCTTGGCTTCAGGCACCTTATTTCTGGTCTCCATGGTCTCCTCAGCACTCTCCACAGATCATAGTAGTGTTGGCTTTCCGGGTCAGACAATAGGTACAAGGCAGCCTCAGCCCAGGACCCAAGCTGGATGTGAAAATAGCCGCTGATCCACTGCCAGCTGCCGCGCTCCAGGAAAGAGACAAACACTTAATTGAGTTCTAGCATTTACTAAAGACATCTTTGGGGTGGGGATGACTCCTCAGCACATGGGGAAGGAGGCCAGCTCCAGGCTCAGGTCTTCTGGGAGTGAAAAGTCTCAATCTTGGAGTTTGAGGGTCTGTTGAACTTCATGTCTGAGTTGGGCAGTGAAGGTTCCAGTTTGGAGGACTGTTGGAGATCCTTGGCCACTCCAGCACTCTGTGACATACAATATAGGGCAGATACGTATATACCCATTCCCAGGGTACACTGTCTTGGGGCATCTTGTGTGGTAAGTCCTGCTTCTGAGGATCCAAACCCAGCAGGCTGTGGCATTTTATCACTGTGGGTGATGCCTAATTCCTCTGGGTCCCTAGGACTACATGAGCTTGTAGAGGTAATGCTATGCTCCCTGCATGGCCTCAGGTTCTGTCTAGGGCCGGTAGAGCCTTGGCTGCAAAGTGCCGATAGATTGAAAGTAGGAGAATCAGGACCTTTTGCTGTAGGGTATGAAGTCTCCAGGGCTGGGCTTGGGGTGGGGGTGGGGACACTGACGTGATTAATCTACTTGTTCCTGGGAAGAAGGGAATGCGAATCTATCCCCAGTATTGATATCTAAGAAGGAAGCTAAACAGAAATCTATTGCACTAGAAATTGTGTAGGAAGAGGTACAAGGTATTCTGCCCATGTGTGATGGCAGAGTAGAGCCAGAATACGCTAGAAATGCCTGTGCAGGCCATGTCTCACCCATAGTTATCTTCTCCTTGAGGTTTAGGACAACTAATGGGGAAGGGGACTTGTTGGCAGGTATCCCTGTCCCTTCAGATGAGTGGGGGAATGGAGGTCACTTGATTATCCAGTTTGTTAATGGTGGGACCTCAGCTCTAGACTTCTGATATCTAGCTTAAGATCTATCCCCCAAGTTTTTCTCGAGGCCTCGTGATTGGGGGTTGGGATGGCTTCTAGCCTATCACCCAGGAACTCTGTGTCAGGGTGACTCACAGACTGGTCTATGATGATGGAGTTTGATGGGTGTCCAAAACCATGTTGTTGCTCCTGAAGCCGTATGGCCAAGTTTTGCTTCTCTCGTGCCCAGTGGCGAGCTGAGTCCTCAAGCTGCAGACGTGGAGAGGGGAATTTGGAAAGACAGCAGTCAGTACAGCTCCTCCCCAAGAGCTAGGACAGGGTCTGGGCTTGTCCTCTGGGAAAAGGAAAAGCCCTGGCTGTAGCAGAGGTGAGGAGTCAAAGAGGCAGCCTAAGACACAGACAGATCTCAGCAGTCCGCATGGAGTCCATACTCTGAGCGGCATCCACACCGGGCTTCACTCTGGTCAGAGACCAAGGTTGACCTGGTTACATAATGGGTCCTAATTATGGAGTTGTACATTGGGTCTTGACCCTACTTGTATACTAGGCATTGCTCCTGGCCAGAGGCTGCACTGTGAGCCTGCTTCAGGCTGATCAACTCCAGCTTCTCACCTACCTGGTTTTCCAGGGACAAGATCCGACTCTGAGCTTGTTCTAGCTTGGCCAGGAGGTTAAATTTGTCTGAAGTACCACCAAGGAGCTCCTGTGGGATCAGACGCTCATGTGAGACCCCATATGGGAGCTGAGGCCATGACTGAGGAAGCCCCAGGTGCTGCAGGAAAACCCAGCCAGGCGTGGGTTTCAAATTCAGTGGCAGACACAGCGCCTCAGTCCTGGGCCAGGGCCTCTGCTTAGCATCTGCATAGTGCTTGGTGTGCATTGTTCCCTATGCTGTTTCCAACTCAGATTAGAGACTCTGACATCACATAGATTCCAGGCTGGCCTTGAACTCACTAATTAGAATAACCTTGACTTCTTGTCCTCCTGCTTCCATCTCCTGAGTGCTGGGATTACAGGCGTGTGTAGGTTTATGCAGTGCTGGGGATTGAACACAGGGCTTCATATATGCTAGACAAATACTCTACTCACTTAGCTACACCCCCAGCTCACACCTAATAACATTACCAGCTGCTCATGTAAAATGCACTAATGAACTGCCTTTAATACCAGGAGGCGGCTGAGCTGAGAGTCTTTTTGTAGATGAAGGTTCAGCAAAACAAAGGCTGCCCATCTTTCATGTTTTACCTGTCTGCCGGTGCGTTGGGACATTCCAAACAGAACTGACTTCCTGGACGAACACAAACACTCACCTGTGCCCTCTTGCCACCATAGCTTCAAATATTGACTCTGGGTTTGTGTACAAAGGGGTACTTGAAGTAGCCCCCGGGGCACCCACCTGTGCTGGCAGGGTCTCTGTGCACGTGGAGTGGCCCAGGCCATTTGTGTCTTGTAGCCTCTCTGCCAAGTCTCCACCTGCTCCCAACTCCCTGGGATCCACCTGGGATGGGGAAAAGGGCTCTCCAAGGCTGCACCAATCCCAGACGGTTCTGAGAGGCCCATGGTGGGAGGAGGGTGTCCAAGTGGGAGCAAGCCAGGTGGTAGGTGGAGTCAGGGTTCAGGGGTCAAGGGTGAGCTAGGGCCTTGCTCTCTCCCAGGGCTCTAAACGAGGGCAAAGCATTCATTTTAGGAACATGAGCGCAAAGAGTGCAAGGCGTGAATATGAGTTTCTGGTGCCACTGGGTGCTGGGAAGCCCAGATTCTGGGCTGGATCTTTAACCTGGCTCATGCTGGGGGTGACTGTGGGGTACATGCTGACCAGTGCCCGCAGCCTCCAGCCAGGTTGTGTTGGCGGCTCTTACCGGCAGGGCCTGCTGCTGCAGGATGATGGGGGCTGACTGCTGACGGTTCTTTTCCAACTCTGCCCGCAGCCTTGTGTTTTCGGCCAGCAGTATGGAGTAAAGATCGACAGCCATGTTCTCTCCCGTGGGGCCCAGGTGAATGCCAGAGGTGGCGAACACGGGGAGAGCTGTGAACATAGTCACTCGTGCTTGTGACATGGGCTTTCTAGCCTCTCTGTTCCCATTTTTCCCAGCATTTTGTTCCATTCTGCCTCCAAGCTAGCAATGGCTCCCTTTTGCCAGTGGAGTCAGATCCACGTCCCTCAGGCTGTTTAGGATCTTAGTCCATTGTTTTCCCTGTTCCTCCCTGCTCATTCGTCCTTGTATTTGTCTCTCTGGTCCTGACCTAGTTGTTGCCCTCCATAGATGCTAGCCCACATTCTAGGTGGCTTAAGGAGCCCTGAGATGTTCATTGTTTTCTAAAGACTTTCAGATCTCAGGTGCCTAGCCATCAGTGAAGACTGAACCCAGAGCCAGGCATACAGAGATACTTTGGGGAGTCTCTCCACGTGGCCAGGGAGATATCTGACCTGATATGGTGTCATTTTATTCTTTCCTGCTTATCAGAGCTATCTTTTATTGACAGTTGTGGATAGCTGTGGTTTTCACCGATGAGGAAAATAAACTGATCCTATCAGAGTGGTTTTGTCTTTTGCTTTGTGGAGGCAGAATAGAAAAGATGCCAAGGGGGCAGGGAGGAAGCGGAGGATGCGGGCACTGTGGCCTAGGAGGCCCTCCATCTGGGGAAGTCCTGTGGTTCATGGGGCCTCAACCCTAGAGGTCTGGTCTCTGTGGTATCCTTGTGTCCTAAGGCAGTTCCTGACAGAAGAAGGGCTCTGATCACCATGGAAGCTCTCTGAACCTGAGAGAGGAGAGGACTAACTATCTCGGGTGTCTCTCTCCTGCTCACAGACACAGAAGAGCACTGCCCCCTCTCTGAAAGTTCTTGTGAAGCTGGAGGGCTCCAGGGTAGGACAACAAGCTGGAAAGTAATTTACTCCGAGATCTACCTTGGGGAGCAGGCTCACCCACGTTGGGCTTTCCCTGCGGCCTGCTCGACAGTGCTGGCTCCTTCCTCTCACGGAGCCTTTCTTCCAGTACCTGCTCCATTTTCTCAATCACCTGGTGACAGAGACCAAGGCTGGGCTGGCCCAAGAGCTCCACAACCTCTAGGCTGCAGCACCTCCTGGGCAGCCCCAGCACCTGCCTTCTCCTGGTGCCGCACGGTGTCCTCCAGGGCCTTCATCTTCTGCAGCTTGTCCTGGTACCGCTTCAGTTGTGCGGCCTGCGGCTGCTGGGCCTGGTACAGAAGCAGCAACTCCTTCTCTCGATCATTCTTCTGCAGGATGGAGGCGAATGGGTGCCTGGGAGTTATCTCAGCCACAAGGGTGCACGTGGCATCCTGCTGCACCCTGCGCAGCCAGGTTCCCTCCCCACCATGTGCTTTCTTTCTGCTCTGGAACATTTCCCAGGACTTTTCTCGGTGGTGGCACTGTTCCCCTGGCCACCAAGCCTTGGCTCACCCGAATCAGCTCATTCTGTAGGTATTGCACCCTGTCTCGCAGCCTCTTTATGTCCAGTTCACTCAGCAGTAGCCTCTGCTTCATGGACACCGCTGGGGTGGAAAGAAGCTGGCTTGAGAACAGATGGAGGCAAGGGTACCCAGCCCTGGGGCTTGACTCAGGATTGTACTTTCTGTCCCCCCCCCCCCAGGATGCTATAGCTGGGCAGATTGTGCAAGTTTGTCTACAGGGAGGAGCGGGAGGGGTAGGGGACTCGTGTGACACACATCTGGAGAAAGCTCCCCATCACCCTGGCAAAGAGCCACGTGAGCCCCAGACTAAGCTCAGCCCAGAGCCTGGGCCCCAGTAGGTATCCAAAGGCTCACCCAGGTTCTCCTCTTCAGCCCTGCTCTGTTCTTCTTCTAAGTTCTGCTGGGTCAGGTGACTCCTCAGCGTGCGGTTCTCCTCCTCCAGGATGTTGGTTTGCTTCCTCAGTGCCAGGATGTCCTCTGCCATCTTCTGCATGGCCCTCCGGTAGTTGTTCATCTCCTACGATCCCAGAATCCTCCGCTGAACCCTTACTCCATGCCCAACCCCCCAGGACTACATCTGCATCCACAGTGAGCCACCCTCAACTCAGCCTTAGCGATTGCCCAGAAGAGGAGTTGGGCATGGTCTCCATCTCCTGGCAGCATTAGGACAGCCACACTAAGGTGCCTCTTTTGGGACCACAATAATTCATATGACACCAGGGGTTGCTAGGGTTCAGGAATCAGGTGAGGAAGCCTGCAGGCAACAACCTCAAAGCACGCAGCCACGTTTCCGTGTTCTGAGTAAATTTACAGCTTCACCTTCTCTTTCCTTCAGCCCCCTCTTCTAACCCAACTCCTTCTTAGATTGCCCACTGAAGCCACTTGGGGGCTGACCTACCATCAGCTTCCCAAACAGCCCAGCATCCAAGAAGAGACACCAAGTAGACCCTAGAGACTCAGGTAAGATCTCAAGGTCAAGGTGTCAGGATCCAGATACAAAATGAGGGAGATGCAGGAGATGGGGGCAGGAGCTGACTCATGTCTGGAAGGGCAATAATCATAGAGTTGGTGTTCACTGGGCTTCCCCCACACCCCAAGCCTCCTGCTAAGGGCTTTAGGTGTTTTTCTGCATTCAACCCCTAGTAAGCCTATGAGATAGGTATTATTGTCACCCCCACTTTACAAAGGAGGAAACTGAAGCCCCAAAGAAGCGAGCAACCTACTCAGTGATGAGAGCAATAGATAGTAAAGTCAGGGCCTGAATCAAGCCTGCTGGGGCTGATGCTTGAGTCTGGTTTTTTATTTTTAGTTTTTACAAAACAAATGTCTGCTCATATATGTACAGGACAACTGAGATGAATTTTCATGCATTATGTGTGCGTGTGTATGCATGCGTACATGTGTTGGTATATGTGTGTGTTCAGTCTTGGGTGTCAACCTCAAGAACGAGATCCACTCCTTGAAACAGAGCAACTTCTCATTGGCCTGGAGCTCACCAGTCAGGCTAGATTGGTTGGTCAGTGAGTCCTAAGGGTCCTCCTGTCTCCACTTCCCTCTTGCTGGGATGATAAACACTCAGTCACCATGCCTGACATTTACATGGGTGCTAGGCATCAAACTCAAGATCCTGCACTTGCAAGGCAAGCACTTTACCCACTGAGCCATATCTCCAACCCTATATTTTGCTTGTCAATCGGATTCTGTACCATTGTTACAAGTCTCAAGTACATAGTATCTTAAGATAAATATTATTTAAAGAGAGGAGAGTGAGAGAATGAGCCAAGACACAGCCAGTAAGGTCCTGGAAGAGTAGATCTCAGAGCAGGACTTAGGGGTAAAGAGGGAGGAGGCAAGTAGGCTATCTGAGTTGTCTGTAGACTTCTAGGCTGTGGGGAGCCTTGCTCCTGTGGGTGGGCCTTACAGACCTAGTCTGACTCCCAGGCCCCACAAAGAACAACTCTACATGCGATCTCCTCTGGTCTCCTGCTGCCTGGTGTGTGTGTGTGTGTGTGTGTGTGTGTGTGTGTGTGTGTGAGATCCAGCTACATTCCCAGTTATACTCCCCCACCTGCTGCCTGGGGTGAGGGGATACAGCTATATCCAAGCTATGGTCTCCCACCTGCTGCATGGTGGGGCACAGCTTCTAGGGGAGGGGTCCCCAGTCAGCAGGATCTCATCAGACACCGCTTGTTGTCTGCCGTTGCTGTCTAGCCGTCTGGCTATAGTCTCTCTGACGGCGCCACTGCTGGCTCTATCTCCTTAGCATCTGTTGTGGCTTCCCCAGATCTGCGCCCATCTGACGTCCTCAGATGCTTACTGGGACCCTGGACCTGGGACCACATGCGCGCGCGCGCGCGCGCACACACACACACACACACACACGCACGCACACTCATGCACATACTTACTTTGGAGTCAGGGACATGTGTGGAGTTTGGGACCTCCTGGCGGCCCAGGAGTTGCTGAGAGCTCAGGATGGGCTTTGCAGGTATGTGTTGGGGGGGGGCACTGTTCTCAGTCTGTCTCCTTTCGGCTTCAATGGCTGTTCCACTCCACAGATCCTTCCCTTTTCCTTCTTCCTACCGTGGGCCTGCTGGTTCCCCTCTGCTGAGTGGTTTATGGCACATCCCAAGACTGACTGGGTCTAGGGCCCAGGGCTTGACTGGAGGAAGTCTCTGATATTTCAAAAGAGGGGATCATCTCCTGTCCTTCCCCAGCTACTTCAACCTCTTCTCACGCTGCTCTGATTACAGCAGCCCCAGTGCGGTTACTGGTTTCTAAGTTATCGCCTCAACACATACACATTCCTAGGTCTATGGTCAAGGATGCTCCGTTCAGCAGTTTGTAGTCTTATACTACGGCTTCTCTCATGTCTGGTTGCATGGAGTGTCCTAGAATTAGTTGTCCTGGTTCAGAGAGAAGACCACACTCTATTGTGAAATGAAGGGATCGCGTGGAGAGTTAACACAAACTTAACTGGGATGAGACGGGAACATGCACACAAAAGGAATTCTGGGAAAAGGTTGCAGCCCCTCGGCCACTCTTACAGGATCTGGGCAGCCCACTTCTCATTCAGGGGATTATGGTTTTTAAGATCTCACTGTTCCCCAACTCTGCAGTTCTGGGATGTGGGGGAAGTAAGTATTGCTCTTTTATTTTTACCCTCCCCCATCGATGAAGGAAACAGAGATCATAGCGACAAAGGAAGGACAGAGGGAGAGGTTGGCTTCTGGTGAGGCGGCCCCCTGCCTCAGCCATCAGGTCCTTCTAGAGGAGGGTCAGTGGGTCCTGGGGGGGACTCCATCCCTTGAAGCCTCATCTTCCTCCCAGACTCTTAGCCTAGCCCTGCCTGGTCCTTGGGAGTAAGGCCTCCATAGGGAGACAGTATGACCTCCTGACTCAGCCTCTCGACTCCAGCCAGGGCTCTGTTTCTGTGGGGATCTCAGCTGCCCCCATTTGCATGGCCGAGTGGCGACCTTGGCAGCACAGCTGGGCTGGCAGACCACAAGGTTCAAGTTAGCAGCCCTGACCTCTGGCCACAGCCTGCAGCCGGGTTATCCTCAGGGCCATGTTCTACATCATGTTCTGGCCTTGAAAACACACAGGACACCCTGTTCCAGATTCTCTTTACAATCTCGCTCTCTAGTTACCTCCTGGGGGAGGGACAGCGTGGTGGTCTCGGGGGCGCTGACTCAAATGCCTGACCCGAGGACCCTTCACACCCTCCTCGCCCACTGACTCCCTCCACCCAACCCTCAGAGCCTGCCAGAGTGAGGAATGTCAGAGTGCCAGGTTTTAGTTTTCCCGCTGCCCAGGAGTATTTTTGGGCTTTACCACATCCATAGCTCCCTGTGGGCTCAGGAAGTGGGGTGCCCGACCTTAGGCTTCAGTGCCCTCATCTGTGGATACGAAATCAGCCCCCACGAACAACTGTGATATGAGAGCTAATAGGAAGGTTAGCTCTGGCCCTGGCACTAGGGTGCCTGGAGACAGTAACTCAAGGGAACCACTTCAAAACACTCCAGAATGGCCCTGGTCACTGGGCCCAGAAATTCTCCTTATATGATGAGACCTAGTTTACTGGACGGAGGTTCATTTCCACCGAGGAGGAGGGTAGGGACTCTCTGAGCCCAAGAGAGATACTTAGACTATGGTCAGAGCTTTCACTAAAGTCTGAAGCACATCACCCAATGGGGACCCAGCACGCATCTGGCTGCCATCAATTGTGTAGTCAGAAGAGACCTTGTATCATCACTATACAGATGGGGGGGGGTACTGAGGCTGGAAGTAGTGTGCTCCAGAGACTGTCACAAAGCCTGCGTCTGAAGCATCACAATAACCCCTTTGGTGGTCAAGGCTTGCTGAGGGCCACTCTGTACAGTTCTGGGTCACATAGACCCTGGAGCAGAGATACGCAAGACTGTCCCTTCCCGCAGTGGTCCATCTCTACACTGAGGGGGTGGCAGATGCTTCCTTGTCTGTGGAAGAAGGGGCCTCCGGAAGGCCTATTCCCAGCTTAGTAAGCCTGGAGGAGAGCTTCCTGGCGGCAGTGACAACCCAAACCTCTCTTAAGACAAGAGTGGTACCTGGAGGAAGGGGCTTCCAAGCCCAGGAGAAGTTGTGGGGAGAGACAGGGGAAGGGGACAGCTGCAGAGCAAGCTGGAGAAATGGATTCTCTTGGCCTCTGCTGCAGAAACTAAAGGGCCCACCATGCAGGGGTGTAATAAGGGCTCGTGGCTGCCAGCTACTACGGACAGATGGGTATAGGGGTCCAGAGTAGTACTAGGTAAGAGGCAGGGGCATGGAACAAAATGAAGGCAGGAAAAAAGCGAAGGGAGGGAGACATGGGAAGGCAGGCCTCTGAGATGTGCACCTCGGAAAGGGAGCCGATGTTCAGAATTGGGGAACGGAGAGAAAGGATACAAAGGAGTTGGTGAGGAACACTCAAGATGAGGGGGGGAAAGGAAGGCGGTGTGTGTGTGGGTAATTGCCAGAAAGGAAGACAAGCGGCAAGACCCGGCGGCCAAGCCAAGACCATAGGACTCCCTGAAGAACGCTTGGGCTGAGCAGGGATCTGGGCTCACCAGGCCTGCTTATGCTCTGGCCCCAACCCCCAGGGCTCTTGCTGGTGGGCTCAAGATGCTGGTGTGTGGTTTGCCTTTGCTGCCACCAGAGGGCAGCCACCTCCTGCCAATGCTCTGCTTTCAGTCTGTCCCAAGAAGAGGGCAAGGCTTCCGAGGAGCCGCAGGGCTTGTGTGCCAGAGTATTAGAGTATTTCACCACCTAGCCCCACCAGCACACATGCCCCTTCTCCAGATGGTCCAGCTGTCCTCCCGAGACATGCCCTGGCTGGGATGGGTGCCCTCTGCTGAGAATCATCCTTGGAAACCAGAGAGGTCAGTGACTTGCCTGAAGTCACACAGCAATTCTTGAACCTCAGCGGGGTCCTTTATTGGCTCTAGGGAAGATTATGGGCCTGAGGCATGAGGTAGGGCTTGGAACAAGACCTATAATGAA